AAATGAATTCACACTGACTTTCTTCTTTCCTGTAGGCTTTCTGAACAGCGTTACCCCAAACTGGCAGAATACTATAAAGGTCTGATGAACAGACCCAGCATCAAAGCCAGCTGGCCTCCTACTTGGAAGAACGCACCGAAACAGGAAGCATTGAAAGACATCTGAGATTCAGGCGCTCATTTGTTACCACTCCTTGCACTGCACTAGTGATTCATATACATTTTTTAAAATATAATTTGTGACAATAATGTGTGATTATTACTGTGCTGTGACCAAAATAAGCAATAAAAACTGAGTTTTAATTTTATAGCTCAACTGTGTTTTGTTTCTTTGCAGTGGGGATATTTATTGTTAATATAATGTTAACCAAAATCAAACTTTAGGTTTGATGTTTGGATATCAAGTTAAGAATCTGCACTACACCCTTCCATCAGCTTTGCAGAGAGGTCACTTCACCCAACTATAAATCTTTGTGTCTTGGAAATGATGGTCTGTGCTTCTCAGACCATAAGGGCTATCAGAACCCTTTACCTTTTTTATTAAAAGAAAGAAAGAAAGTGAACTTGGGGAAAAGCAGTGGCACAAGGTTTGTCTGTGGGTATCTGTGTGCACACTTGTGTGAACACCTCCCAATGCACCAAAGGCTCCCGGGCAAGGGCCTGGCCTCAGTGCGTACACCAACCCACAACCCCGGTGGCACACCAGCCAGGACCCAAGTCCCACAGGCCAACCAAAACCTCGGCCCATAAGGTCGCCCCGGACAGATTTTATTTTTGCAGTTCACACTGACAGTCTTCTTAGCAATGCATGAGGAGGCGAGAGCCATGTGGACTATGTTCATCCGAAATTGTAGATTTCAGACACTTTGATAAGTCTTCACATATCTGGCACCAAAACCTTTGATGGACAGAACCAAAGAGCGTGGCAATAACACCAGATGGCTAAACGGTCTTCAGAGCGGACCGAAGCGCTACGGACAGTGGCAAGATCCGCGGCGGAGGAACGGACGCCCTCGTCAAGCAATCGTGGTGTACTGACTGTAAGAGCATTTCAAACTACTGAAAATGTGGAATTTCTGACTCCAAGGCTAAGGCCGTTTTATTTGCCCAGAGAACTGCAGTGCATCATTGTGAGTGTTGTGTATATCCCTCCTCTGCTAAGGAGGAGGCTGCACTGAAGGAGATGTACGACATGATCAACGAGCACGAAAATAAACACCCAAATGCTGCTGTAATTGTTTATGGGAAACTCATTGTAATCTCAGGAAAACTATGCCTAAACTGCATCAGTTTGTTATCTTCCCCACCAGGGGAAATAAAACACTGGATCACTGCTACAGCAATATCAGAAACGCCTTCTCAGCTGAACCAAAACCTAATTTCGGAAAGTTTGACCACCTGGCAATCCGGCTAAAACCCACCTATAACAAAAAGCTCAAGACAAACCCAGTCACAGTCAGGACTATTAACACCTGGACTGACAGTGCAAAAGCCAGCCTGCAGGGCTGCTTAGAGACCACAGACTGGAGCATCTTCAAAGGAGCAGCATCTTGTGGACAACTTTCTTGTCTATGGTGAGGAAAACGGCCTCATCTTCAATACGGACAAGATCAAGGAATTGATACTGGACTTCACGAAGAACCCCCCTCCCCTGCA